CTAAGGAATGGAAGTATGTAGGTGCTCATCCTAAGGAGCTAATCATAGGAGACACATCAAAGGATGTTCAAACTCATTCTTCCTTTAAAATTTTTATGTCAATGCCGCTTTTCTTTCTCAAATTGAACCGAAATGCATTGACAAGGTCTTGAAAGAAGATTCATGGGTTATTGTAATGCAAAAAAAGTTGAACCAATTTGAGAGAATGAGGTGTGGAAGCTTGTTCCAAGACCTAGTGACCATTTAGTTATTAGTACTAGATGGGTCTTTAGAAATAAGCAAGATGAATTTGATATCGTAGTTAGAAACAAGGCTAGATTAGTTGCTAAGGTTTTCAACCAAGAAGAATGTATCGATTATGAAGAAACCTTCACTCCTATGGCAAAATTAGAAGTCATAAGGATGCTCCTTGCCTATGCTAGTAGTAATAATTTGAAGTTATTTCAAATGGATATTAAAAGTGCTTTCTTAAATGACTTTATTTCCGAAGAAATGATGTTAAACAACCACCCGGATTTGAGAACTCACTTTTTCCTAATCATGTGTTTAAGTTAATTAAAGCTCTACATGGATTAAAATAAGCCCCGAGGGCTTGGTACGAGAGACTTAGCTCCTTTCTTATCCAAAATAATTTCTCTAAAGACAAGGTCGATACTATATTGTTTAATAAAATTTTGAAAATAAATTTCTTGTTGTTCAAATTTATGTTGATGATATTATTCTTGATTTTACAAATGAATCCTTATACGAATCATTTGCCAAGAGTTTGAAATGAGTTTAATGGGTGACCTAACTTTCTTTTTAGGCTTACAAATCAAACAACTTAATGATAGTATTTTTCTTAGTCAAACCAAATATGCATTAGAATTGCTAAAATGATTTAATATGGATGGTTCAAAAGCTATCAATACTCCTATGAGTACCTCCACTAAGTTAGACATAGATGAAAGTGGAGAAAGCTTAGATCAAAAAACTTATAGGGGTATGATAGGTAGTTTATTATATCTCATCGCAACTAGATCAAACATCATATTTAACATAGGATTTTATGCTAGATTTCAATCTAATACTAAGTTATCTCATCTTAAAGTAATTAAAAGAATTCTTAGATATCTTAAAGGAACCCCTAATATAGGATTATGGTATCCAAAATTTGAAAACTTTGAATTAATTGCTTATGCTGATATGGATTTTACTAGATGTAAAGAAGATAGAAAAAGCACATCTGGAACATGTCAATTCTTAGGTCATGTACTTATTTCTTGGTCTTCCAAGAAACAAAACTCAGTTGCATTATCTACAATCGAAGCTGAGTATATAGCAGATGGTGCATGTTGTGTACAAGTTGTATAGATGAAAAATACATTAGAGGATTATAAGATTCACCCTAAGAATATTCTCATAAAATGTGATAACACAAGTGTAATATGTTTAACAAAATATTCTATTCAACACTCTAGAACTAAACATATTGACATTATGCATCATTTCATAAGAGATCATGTTAATAACTATGACATATCTTTAGAGTTTATTGATATGAAACATCAATTAGCCAATATCTTTGCAAAACCTTTAAATGAAGAATAATTTGATTTTAATAGAAGAGAGTTTTGGGATGTTAAATTGTCTGAATGCATGAGTTTGTTGTATATCTTTTCCGGACTTTCTTGATTGTTTTTAAATAAAGCTTTCATAAAATCTAGAATATCAATTTACTTGGTATCAAATTTATTTCATATCCTTGCTCCATCACTTAATGATTTTTGATACACTTAGTCCCTTCACTCATGGATTTCATTGACAAATACATCTCTCATGGATTTCATTCGTGGATTTATTATCTTTCATTTGACTCATGAAAAAAGAATTTTCATGGACTTTTAGTATGTGATGATCACTTATAAGGATTTGATTTTGTATGGACATCTTGATCCTTTTAATGAATCATTTCTCTTTGTTAAAATAGAAGCTTGATTCGATGAAACTCATTTATTATTTTGGATTTGACTTGGTCCAAATCCTTTCATAAATTTGCTTCTTCATGAATTCCTCCCTTACTCTTCTTCCTCTTCTTCTTATGTTTTATGACAAAGGAAGAAAGAAACATGCACATCTCAAAAAGAACCAAAAAGATTTTGCACATCTAAAGTTAAAATGTTAGCTTGTCCATTTTAAAAACCAAAAGTAGTTATCATGCAAAGTTTTTGCTTACCTTCCTTTTTGGCTTGGATAAATTGGTGTGGAACTTGCTTGAATTTTTTTTTAACACACTTGCATTGTTGAATAGTTCTCCTTTTTATTGATGACAAAGTGGGAGAAATGTGACAAATTGATAACAAATTGACATTATGAATGTTTAAAATAATGTGTAAAATGTATCTTATCGTAAATTCTTGAATGTTTTACAAATGCATGAAATATGATTGGAATCATCAAATATATCGCAACATATCGCAAATACTTGAAGCATATCAAAATATATTACATATGCACTATATGCATTGTAGATACTTGAAATGTTTCATGAATGCTTGATAAATGTCTATCATTATGATAAGGTATCATGAGCTTAATTTCCTACTTACAATTGATATCATGCCTCAGATTAATGAATTATCATCTTTGAAATTTGAATCTTGCTAAATTTCATATTTGAAATTAATATCATAAAAATGATAATTGTCTATCATCATTCTATATTGGACTTAAAAATGGATGTCATGCCTTGACATCATTTGTATTGTGATAAATACGTGGTATCGTATTTTGAGATGGTAAATCATGATTGGTATCATGATGTGTATGTCGATAATTTTAAATGAATGTAACTTATCAGTTTGATGCTTGAATTCAAGAGTGTCTTTTCTCAAGTATGGCATATATATAGGGAGCGTTAAGGTTAACTCTATTATCAATTGATTGTTATCATAAAAAAGATGAAGATTATTGAATCTTGGATTTTGATGATGAAATTAATTGGTAAATTATTTGATCAAATCTATATATTAAGAAAAGTGTGCAGGATTAATTACCATAGCGATCAAGGTATAAAGCAAAACGAAGTGCCAGATTCAAGATCGAGATTTCATTGGGAGTTCGAGAGTTCATCGGAAGTCCGGAGGTTCATCAGAAATGCTGCAAGAATTAACTGAGAAGAAGCTCATTGGAACTTGCCAAGAAAATCATCATGAAGTCTAGGAGCTTGCTAGAAGTCCATTGGAAGATTACCGAGAGATCGTCGAAAGTCCGCCGGAAGATCGCCGGAAGCTTGTCGGAAAAAACCTAGACTTATCGAGCTTGTTTTATTTAGTGTATGCCTTAAAAATCGTAGTTAGCACATAATTAGAGTTAGGTTTGGGAGGTAATCCTATTAACCCTATTAAGGGCCAATTGGGCCCATAATTGGACTAGTTTAGGCCGGACTCAAGACCCAACCAGGTTGCTGGACCTTGACTAGCGGTGGCACCGCTAGACTAGGGCAATGAAACCACCCAAGGAGCGGTCTCCCAAGTGGTTTGGGCAGTGGTACTATCCAGACTGAGTGGTGGTACCAAAAGCAATTAATACTACCAAGCGATGGTACCGTAAGAACTCAGTATCCGAGACTCTATCAAACCATCACCTAGTATTAGAGTGTCAAGTGGTAGTACTACCCAATGTCAGCCCGGAAACCCGAGATGAGACACTTTTTTGCTCCAATTTTAAAGCTATTTGAGCCTATAAATACCTCATCCTTTTTGCATGAAAGGGTAACAAAGCAATATCTAAGTATGGAAAAATTAAGTGTTGGGGTGTAAAAGTGTAAGAGTCCTTCTCATCTCTTTCTTTAGTTTTGCAATCATCCAAGAAGAGGTGTGAGGCTTGTAAGGGTTATCTCCTAAACCCGTGAAAAGAAGAAAGTGCTGTAAAAAGGTGGTTGGTCTTCGCCTATTAAAGGAAGACCATTAGTAGACGTCAATGACCTCAACGGAGGAGAAATCAGAAGTGGATGTAGGTCACAACAACTGAACCACTATAAATTTCAGTATGTTCTTTCTTTACTACTTATTTTCTTTACTGCATTTTACTTCATTGTAAATTGTCCAATCCCCTCTTCTCTACTTACTTGCAAACTTATTCGAGTCTAACTAAGGGTTTTCGTCGAACTTAGAATTTCATCGAACTAAGTTTTTCAAAATCGTTAAAAATTATCATTTTTATCGACTGCACTAATTCACTCCCCCTCTTAGTGCCGTTCTTGATCCTAACATATTCTTGAGTTAACTAGAGCCAACTTACCTAATTTTGGTCGCGTTGGTTGGTTTACTCGGGTTCTCTTTTCAATTGATATAATTATAATTAGAACCAATTCATTAGTTGATGACTTTTAAGACGTACAAAATGTATGACGCATATTTTTATGACATATGATACATAACATAATTAAATGACACGATACACGGAAATGAAAAACAATACATGGTATGGGATACAACAAAATCTAATCTCGAGGATATAGGACATGATATGTATGACCTGAGATTATGTAACATAACATGATATATCGTAGGACATGCCATGTAAAAAGTATAGGTGTAGGTCTAGTTGCTGTCATTAACTCCAAGAGACTCGAACATGAAGAAAAACTAAGTGGATGCTCTGCCCTGCGAGTTCTACGGAAGACTACTAAACTAAAATTTCACTTCAGTGTAATAATATCTGAATGATTGCAGTAGTAATAATTGTTTCTTACATTTGAACACTGAAAGAATCATTTACATCTCAATTAAAGCTTGCATAGTCCTCATTACATCCTTCTGATCTACAAGTGAAAGAAACAAAGAATACCTAAGGTAAGTAGCTTAAACATTACAGACCTATTGATAATTAATACGTTTGGAAAAAAGATGAATAAAAATCCAAACCGGTTCTGGAACTTCCCATGAGCCTCCAGCATGTAAGATGCCGGTGATGCTAATCACGCCCAATCTTGTTTAAGCAATGATATATGTATATATACATATTGCGATGTGGAGCAAACAGATAAAGGCTGAATGCCATATAGATGCAGATTTCGATGTAAACATACTAGATTTCTTCTGTAAAAACTTTGTATATGAAGTCACGGAAGCGTTTTGAATATTGCTTTGGATCAACAGCTGATATCGAGGTTGGGTCGTACTGGATGGACTTGTAAGCATGTTCGAGCTTTTTGCTGATGTCATAATCTTGGAGAATATCTATGATGCCAAAATACAAAATCACATCGGTAAACTCTCCTGTTGGTTCCATAATTAGCAAGGATTCACCATCGGTCCTTCGGACTATTAATTCAACCCTAGCTGGCATATTTGCACCAAGTTTTATTGAAGCCCACCTGCATTGTCACATAAAAACATTTACAAAAAAGGGAAATTTATACCTAAGATATACTTTGTACAGCCTAGCTAGCAAAAGGCATACTTCCAGATTGTGCAATGGATAGAAAACAAAGTCTATATAACTCATTAATATTTTTCTTTGAAACAAAAAAAGTTAAACAAGAACAATACACATTTTCATAGAGTACATTTTGAATTGTTTCCAGCTAATAATCTCAGAATATGACCAAAAATTTGATATGTAAACATTTGCAGAAAACTTTGTCACATCAAGCTGGATTTATTTATCTTTTATCTTTAGCTGGCTACTATTGCATACACTGTAAATCAATAATGCAGAGGAATCCTAACAGATCTGCTAATATTTTATGACCAACTGTCAACAACATCTAGCTTCTAGATTTGCACCCAATTCCTAATGAAGGCAAGTGTAATCTTGAAAATTACTTTGAAGCTAAAAGGTTAGATGGCTGCTAGAAAGCCTTCAAGTTGTTTGCCATTTGAGTCCCTCAACTAGGGAACAAAACATCTGATGGTATGATTGATTTATAGATGCATCCAGAAGCATTCAGAAGAAACTCTGTTTCTATTCATGAATTGGAAATAGAGAACTAGCTTTTTCAAACAAGAGGCCCGACATTTGATTACCTCTCTCACTAAAAGAGCAAATGACACAATATTCTGTAGCCAAAATTGATACAACACTTAATGAATGTGGTATGGTTCTTCAGTGTACCCCAAATATTTAAGCTAAATATATCACTTATCTTGACCACTCAATTGTCTTACCTAGATGAATGCACCAGTGGGATATTTGATGCTCAACTTAGTAAACCCAAAATAGAAGGATTCAGACACTTCTTTCATTTCCAAAAAAAATGATAATCTAAAACTAATGAAAGAGTAATATTTAGTTTATTGAAAAAATATTTAAATAACATGAAAAATTTTATTTGATAAAAAAATATTTTTTAATTCAATAGGTTACTTAGATGTGCAAATTATTATTTTAGACATGCAAAAGATTTTAAACCCCTAAAATATTGGATAAAGTATCACATCATCAAGTCATGCAGTGCAAACAACTATCAAGATTCGTATGTTCCATAATTAGAACACTTTTAATTAACAAGATGGGTTGCATGTAAAACTCTACTCTGTGTAAGCATCACTCTGATTCTAGCAACCCAAATATAATTTCATCAATTAGCCAAAATGGGTCTACCTCAATCTTTATTGAGCCCCATAATGCTTGGATATTGATGGGACTCAATAAATCAAACTGAACCTGATTCAAATTTATAATTCCTCTCAATTCTCACATTTTTTTCACCTCCCCTTCTCTTCTTTTCTTTTCTGGAGGTGCTAAATCCTATCAAAGAAACTTTAGGACACTAAATGTTAATGTTAATAAAAAGTAAATCTAATTAAAAAAAAAACCTGATTCAACCAAATATATTTTTTTCTTCATGCCACCAAAGATTTGCGATAAAAGGTACGATAGGATAATAAACAATGATTTCTTTAAAATTTTCCTAGTATGTTGATGTCAGTGATTTAAAAAGTGGTAGGCGCCAAGGTACAAAAACACCCGAGGCGCTAGGTGCTCGCCCAAGCGAAGTGAGGCACTAAAATATAAAAATATATAATATAATTAGTAAATATAATTATTTAAAATTTTAAATAAAAATATGCGATTAAATTAAGAAAATCTAATAAATACAAATACTGTTACTAGTATATAGTTAACAGTATACTATATACTGTTAACAGTATACTATCGAAAGAGAAGAGAAGAATGTAAGGGAAGACTGAGGGTGCTAACTGAGAAAAGCGAGAGCGGCAACGGCGAGCGAGAGTGGTAGCAGTAGCAGTAGCAGCGAGCAACAGGAGCGGCGAGCGACGACAGTGGCAGCGGTAGCAGCAGTGATAGTGGGAGCGGCAAGCGGCGATAGTGGCAGCGGCAGCAGCAAGCAGCGGGAGCGGAGACAGTGGCAATGGTAGCAGCGAGCAGCTACAGTGGGAGTGACAATAATGGCAGCGACAGCGGCAGCAGCAAGCAATGGTAGTGAGAGCAGCGAGTGATGACAATGGCAGCGACAATAGCGAACAGCGGGAGCGGGAGCAGGAGTGGTGAGCGGTGACAATGGCAAGTGGAGCGGCATCGTGAATGGCGAGCAGGGTTAGGGTTGGGGAAGTGCACTGATATCGGTGCTTTAGTTGGTTCGATTGAACCAACTAAAGCACCGGAGACCGAACCAGACCTAAAACACTAGTTCGGTCGCCTGGTTTAACCCAGGCGCTCGGTCGAAGCGCCTGGCGACTGGGCTCGGGCGAGCGCCCAGGCGACGCCTCTTTGAAGCGCGTCGCCTGAAAATGAAGCGAGGCGCTCGGGCCTCGCCTCGCCTCATCCGAGCGCCTAGGCGAGCGCCCGAGCTCCTATTGAAATTATTGGTTGATGTTGGATGAAAGATTAAAATTTAGATTTATTTTAAATTAAGCATTACTTATATTTTCATTGAATATACTTTTAGCCCCTCTATTGAGATACTAGCTTAGCCCCTACTTGCAAAGTTATCGGAAGCAAAAATTCAAGTCTTTTATATAAAATTCTAAAAAGGCATTATATAAATATTAATTTATAAGGGCCATTATAATATAGAAAATGGCACGAGCAAAAGATAACTGTCTTGATTCATGACTATCTAGGTTATCTTTTTTACACACCATTCCTATGAACATGACTTGATAATCCATAACTCACAATGTTCTTGATCAGCACTAAAAAGTTATCTTGTGCCCCATTCCAGTTGATGAATTATGTCAAGCTCACCCATCTTAATTAGCATTCATAGCAAGGTATGCAATTTCGAATGGTACCGATCCGACGGCATACCGGTACGCGGACCGCCCGCTACCAGGTGGAACGTTTAAAAGCATCATGTATCAGATGATACGGGGTAATATCAGGCGGTAACGGTCGAAATTTCGACTGTTACCGCTCGGTAACAGTGCTATAGTGCTCCAACGGTTAAATTAACTATTGGAGCCCTTTCATATAGTATTTAAACCCATCTTCTCTCCTATTTTATTCCATTACATTCTCATACTCTCTTAAACTATCTTAAACTCTTTTTTTCTTATATTTTTGCTCTCCTAAACTCTACAAAACAATGATTGAATTGAGTCAAGGCTAATTTGAGAAGATTAAGAGGAAGAACTTTCTAATTAAGATGTATGTATTCTCTTTCTTTGATTAGAGAGTAATTAAGATCTTTAATATTATGATTAGTGTGTTTAATATTGATTAATTTTAGATACTTAATAGGTCAATATTTATATTTTATGTATATTAAATATTAAAAAATATTTATGATAGTAAAATAAGTTTAAATAGGTTTTATTAAAATTATTTTTACGATTAGTCATTTTAATGATGATTTAATCAAAATTTATTCGATTTTATGTCAATTCAATGTGTTCAATACCTATTATGGTGTTTGTCATATTTATAGTGTTGAAAGAGAAGTAATTAATAAGAAATTAACTATGTTAATCATGTAATTAGTGTATCTAATGATGATTTCATCGTAATTTAAACTATATTAGATCAAAATTACATATTTAATGTTCTTTTATGTGTTTGACATATATATAATGGTAAAATAGGTTTAATTAGGTTTTATTAAAATTATTTAATGATGCGATTAGTCATCTTAATGATGATTTAATCAAAATTTGATCGATTTTATATCAATTTAATGTCTTTAATATCTATTACGATGTTTGATATTTTTATAATGTTAAAAAAGAAGTAATTAATGAGTAATTAGCTATGTTAATCAGGTGATTAGTGTATCTAATGATGATTTTATCCTAATTTGAACCATATTGGATCAAAATTATGTATTTAATGCTTCTTTTATGTATGTAACATATTTATGATGATAAAATATGATTAGTTATGGTTTAATAAAATTATTTAATGCTCGATTAGTGATTTTTTATCGATATTTGATTAATTCAATATGTTTATACTTTATAATTTATTTGATTTAAATTTGGTAGGATTATGACACCAAAGGAACAGCCACATGATGATGCATGAATTAATGCTCGAAAGATAGATGAGAACCATCATCATTGACAATGTATTTATTGTGACTACATTAGCAAGGGTGGAGGAATAACTCGGGTGAAAATATATTTGGCTGGCGGGTATCCTGATATTGCAAAATGCAAGAAGGTTCTGACGGAGATCTATAAATTATTTCAAAAAAAGCTACAATAAGCAAAGGAAGATACATTAAAAAAGAAGGCAAGAGTTGAAGAAGAATATTATAGGGCTACACAAGAACCAGTTTATGATCAGTATGAGGGTTGCAACGATCAAGTCGACCCGGATCTCACAGTTGGGATTCGTGCATCATTAGTATATGGTCGATGAAGTAATGAGGCATCGACGACCTAACTCACAATTGGAGCATGGCAGTGGTAGTGGGATCTAGAGGTCGGCCAATATGAGACAACCAACTACTCCTCAGTTAGGCCGAACTAGTAGCATGAGGTATGGTAGACTCTGTGGTTTTATGATAGGTCTTGGCAGGAGGTTTGCACCAGATATTGTTGATATTGATCCGTAAGCCTATCCCCCACAAATAGCGAAACAGACACGGATTGACAATAAAGAAAAAAAATAAGATATTGGGAAGACAATCTCAAAATAGTTCAACTTCCACAGGATTCAAGCCAACACAGCCCAAGGTCCATATTATCAAAGCATAGTCTCTTCTATTCAAAAGTCTAGTATGGGGATCCAACCTCCAACACCGAAGGAGATTTACGACATGTACTTAGATGAGGAGGTGGCAGAACTAAAGGATTGGATCAAATCCTTCAAGAGGCAATGAGACGAATATGGGGTGACAGTTGGACAGGACCAACAAAAATGAGTATCATCAACTTTCTAATTTATTATAACAGAAGAGTAGTGTTTCATAAGTCCGTTAATGCTTCTGAAAAGATCCAAGATGTAAACTACATTGAGAGCTTGATGGACACTATAGTAAAGGAGATTAAACCACAGTATGTTGTCCAAATAATAACTGACAATAGAGCGAATTTCAAGAAGACCGGTTTACAATTGATGAAAAAAAGAAAAACTTTATTTTGGACTCCATGTGCAGCTCATTGCATAGATCTAATGTTGAAGGATATTAGTGAGCTAGATGCGATCAATAATTATGTAGCTCGAGCATAATCAATTACAAAATTTATATATAATCATCACTGGGTCCACACTTTAATGCAAAAGTATGTCAACGGTGAGATACTCCAACTTGGAATTACTCGATTTGCTATCAATTTTATTGCATTAAAGTCATTACAGCAAAAACGACATGACTTGAAGGCAATGGTCATCTCATAAGGGTGGTCTGATTCTAGATATTCAAGATTGAGCGATGGAAAGAAGAGAGAAAAGTCCATTCTTTCCTCTAGATTTTGGAAGACTTAGGAAGAAATCAGAAAAAGTATGGAACCACTTTATATTGTCTCCGTAAGGTCGATATAGACAAGTGTCCACAGATGTCGTATCTTAAATATATGTTGATTTCAGCAAGAGAGGAGGTCAGGAAAGCATTCAAAAGATAATTTTAAGGCCATCCAATACGTATGGATCATTGATCGTCGGACCGAAGTTCATATGGATCAAGATATCTATAATGCAGGTAAATACATATTCAGAATAATTTAATTTATTATTATTTAGATAATAAAAAACCATACTAACAAAATTATATCTTGAAGCGTATTATCTAAACCCGGCAATTCAATATCGATATGCTCTCGGAACACAAAATGATTTACTAACGATACTACGAAATATTATATATCGGCTCTTGCCAAACACTACTGATACAACCGATGCTCTTATGGAGAGTCGATTATTTCGAGAAACAGTTGGTTCATTCTTCGACGTTGTAGTTGTATTGTGTCATTACACTATGGATCCTAGTGAGAAAAAGTTATACATATTGATTATCAATTATATCTAATGTTAATTATTTGTTATGCTAATAAAATCTTATTTATATCATTTTGCAGTCGAGTGACGGCTACAATTTGGAGGGGATACACCACATTTAAGGAAGGTTGTCATTCGTGTACTTTTACAGACGACAACATATAGTGGTTGCGAACGTAATTGGTCAACGTTTGCATTGATTCACACGAAGATCCGCAACAAACTCTCCTATAAACGGTTAGAGAAACTAGTATATGTCCATTATAACATGTGGCTAAGATTGTGATGTGTTGAGCTGGATAAAGAGCTAGAGGAACCATATATTAATCCCATTGTCCTTCAATTCTACAACGAAAATTCAAAGCCGATGTTAGATTGGATTGAAGTAGTAGAGAACCAAGAGGATCCTCTACTTGATAAGGCGGGAGATCCACAACGTCCTTCACGTTTTATCACCGAGGCAATAAAAGAAAAAGAAGCACAACTCCAACAGGTGGAAAATCCCCCTCGATCACAACGTGGCAGGAGTTAAACAACATCGAGTCAAATTGCTCCAGGAACTACAGACACCCAACGGTCACAGTCGTCTGCCCAGCGTGCAAAGGCAAAGGGGAAGGCAGTAGCATCAGTTGCATAGTTGGAAAGAATCGAGTCGGATGATGAGACACCTTCACAATCACATTCAGCAACTCGCTCGGTCTAGAGACATGACAACAACACGGACAGCAGTGCCTCGACGGATAATGGCGATGATGCCGGGCAGTCGTTAGTCTTGTCTACACAACTTGAGGGTGGTGCATGGACCGAGGAGCAATATTTTACACATGCCACCCAAGATTCAGATCATAGAACTCGACAAGGTCCTGGTCAAGTTTATGTGCAGAAGAGGAAGGGGAAGGGGAAGGCAGTAGATGAATTTGAGCAGATGCGACATAGCCTACATGATGTAGATACAGAAAGAAGCTCATCGTATTCACAGCCATCGTATTATGGAGAATTATATGGGCAACAGCAATATGGTGATAGTTGATTATTCTTCTCTGAGCAATAGTATGATATAGAGCAGCAGATTAGTAGCGAAAGTAGAAGCTCTGACATTCACCAATATATGCCTCAAGAGCTTCCTCGGACAAATGTGATTTATGACGATCAGCCTACGATCAACATCATATTGATGCATCAATAACATACGGTGTATCAATACACTATGCCATGAGATCAATTTCATGATTGGGTCCAACAAACATATCATATTGATATACAGATGTATAGGATCGAGGACCCCGATCCACTACCCGTGGAGGCCCGTCATTTATTTTGGTGGTAGAATCAGCAATCAAGTATATCTACATATGTTATTATTTAATTTATTTAAATTTTAGAGTTTATATTGCAATAAAATAGTCTAACAATTCAAAAGATTTTTCTGTAAATATTTCAATATTTACATAAAGACAATCCGTAATGGATTGTCCGAAAAAAATATATGATATTATTCTTACCTAATTTACATTGATTTTGCTAAACTTATGCTATTACTATATTTATTTCTAACTTAAAAATCCTATCCTAACTTTTTTTTATTTTCAGGTATTTTCGAAGGGTTTTACACCTAAATTAGGTGTACCGCTCGATACACGGTACCATACCGTACCGAGCCAACCTCGAAACACCGGTACGGTATAGTATTTCGATCCTTGATTCATAGTTCTATTATCAACTTGCTTGAACTATATTTAATTAAGTAGCTCTTTTCACTATGTATTAGTGTTGCCCCACCTTTTATCTAGGAATCCAATTCAATCAGGACCAATGTTAAAAGTCTTTGTCTAGTGCCAATACTAATTGGTAGCCATATCAACACATCGGTATGGATCTTACCAAAAGTCAATACAAGTTGGTACCCAAAATGAAAAAGGAAGAGAAGACGAAAAATGTAGGAGAAGAGGAGTTGGAGGAATAGGAAGAGACAGAAGCAAAAGAGGAGCAAGAGATAAACCAATATGAGGAGAGAGGAAGAGAATTTGTATTGGTATCAGATGGAAAGTTTATTGTCCAGTATAGTTCAGAGCCAGTCTGTAAAGTGTCTGGTAAACCCAGTATAATAAGCTTACCAAGCACTATAGCCCATACTGGACTTAATCAGACAAACTCACCAGGTACATGTGCTGGTTGGTTGTTGGACTGGAAAATACTGGCTCATACAAAAAAGTTTGCTGGATAAGATGTTTCCACGCTAGAATATTCTAAAGCAGAAAATGTTGTCGCATAAGTCGCTATCTTATTTTTGAACTTTGAAGAACAGCAAGTTTTAGAAGAAAGTGGTGGACAAAACAAAGAGCTTAGAGACCAAGGAGAAACCAAACAAAATTTAGACCATGAATTATTTGCAACAATAAGACCACAACAAAGGTTAGTACACTATGCCTAGTACCCATACCTAATTCCATGAATCATGGAAACATGGAGTCACAAGCCAGCCTTGTAGGCCTTGTCAATATACTAGCATACTACAAAAACACAAAACATTTTGCCATAGGTCCAGAAAACTTATTGCAGCATAAGGCACTGACAGAATTGGTACTGATTATAGTCCAATCTGAAGTTAGCAATACATGAAAATAGTGGTTTCAGAAATTTGCAAGATCAGATGAATAGAAAGCACTATAGAAATAAAAGATGATTCACAACTACCTTTCTAGTGTTCTTGTATTTTTTTTTTTTTTGTTGACAACCATGATAACAGAACTTAGGAGAGAGAAACAATACATCTAAATATAACAAAATTATTTAAATAATTTTGGTCACTCCTTTTTGTCCAAGCATTAGAAGAATATGGTTGATTGTTGGTCATTGTTGGTCAGAAAAGGGATTAGAAGCATTAGAAGTGGGAGATAGATTTTGAATTCCTGATATCAAATACTTCAACGACCAGATTATTGAACCAGTATCCACATTCAGATTCATTAAATATCTACTTAGAAGTATGTTTTTCCCAGTATCCAGTACAGAACAGATCCATTCTCAGTCACATACTTCCATATTCCAAAAATTAAAAAAAGAAACTAGTACATACATTAACAACTAAATTAATTGCCATGCAGAATTTATAGAGAACTCATTTATCTTCTTAGACTCCAATACTACTTTTTCTCCCATGGTTATCCATATTAAATAGCAGCCAACCATTTAAGTTCTGGATAGTTCTAGGTAATGTAAACATCTAAGTAAAATAAAAATTGGCAAATTTTTGCACCATACCGTGTCGGATCACAAAGAAACTGATCCATATCTGCTCTTGAAAGGTGGGGAGTTGGTTCATTTGTGTTGTTAACATCACAGGGAACTGTGGCAAAAAAAAAGAGAAATTATTAGAAACAAAATAAAATGGTTATCATTTGAGTTTGAGGCCAACCATCAGTCTCTTGGGAGGCTGATGCTTCTCTAAAATGGACTCCCACCAAAAGACTGTAATCCATTATCCTCTCCTGCTCCAGAAACTCACAGTCTCGGTCAACTTGCCTACAAAAAGAGAATAAAAGCTGGGCCAAAATGATAAAACATCGGGAATATTAAAGAATCAGATCACAAGATGGTAGTACCAAGTTGGAAAGGTGAAGCAAATTAACTACTGGTACCTGTGGAACTCCTGAAACCAAGACTTCTGTAACCGGAATATAAAATTGAGATCAAGGTCCTTCAGAGTAGTGTTTTCATCAATCTCTGCCTCAGGCTTATCTGTCGTACGACCATGGGAAGACCCTTTGAGGTCAAAACGCCTATGAATTGGATACTCAGAACAGAAGAGATTGCCCATTATGACAAAACGAACCTAATTAATTTGCAAAGCAAATGGATAATTGATATCAGCATTAAACATTTTGATTGCTTGAACTGATATTGAACTTGCAAACAGAAAACCAACCTTTCTCTGAGTAGCCCCAGTTAATTTCACACAGTGCAAACCAAAAAACTTGGTAACTAGAGTATTCTCAAAAGCTCGGACATGGTTATAATAGGCCGGAAGCATCCTCAGTAGCACCTACAACAAGGTGCAGATAAGGAAACTGCAGCATTACTTAAACACATGATGACATTAAAAAAATAAAAGGGAACCCACTTTTACTTCAGATTTCTTCATTGTTTTTATCATGTATCGATCATCATTTGTTAGGTAAAAGAAGCTTCCACTTTTTCCAGGAGATGAAAGTTCCCGAAGAGCATCATTTCCACAGATTGATATCATATAGTCAGCTGGGTCAACCTTGAATAGCTTGCGGAGAGTCCTAGACATTCAGTATTTGGTAATTGAGCTTATACTCAGAATTTAAATGCATGATAAGGAAGATAAAACATAATGTTAAACCAGTGAAAGAAAAAGGAAAAACATGGGGCCAACCTGAAAACTAATGGGCAGTAATCCTTCCACTTGAAATCACAAGACTGGTGTGGGGGTGTTTGTTTTGTTCCCTCAGGAGGAAACCTTGTCCATATCTTTTCTTTGGGGTCAAAGGCTGATGCTTTCAGGTCAAGTGTTTTAGGCTCAGGTAGCTTTCCTACTGCATGCCTAGACCAGAAGACCATAAAATATAATCAAGAAAGTAATTGTCATATCATGACCTCTAAAAGGAGAAATTACATAGTAACTATAGCAAAAAAAATGTCTTTATCATGAGAGTGATTCTTTTCCACTCTGGGTTTCTTTAAGCAAGATGTAACGATGATTAATGAGATTCAATTCACATAAGAGCAATATGTAGAGAATCAATTGCATTAAAAGATTGACATTCAGGTTGATATCCAATTGCAAGTAAGATCTACAAATGTCAATATGGATATAACAAGGTTCTATCCATCATGGAACATTTACATTTTCCATCGAAGAAGGATAGAGCCTTCTTATAAGACAGGTTGTTATCCAACAGCTGACATTCATCATGGATAAACAAAAGTCAAAAAGAAAAATTATCATTAAAAGATTGATCACAAAAAGCCATCGAATAAGGGGCACATGTGTGCTTTGATTAGGTAATACAAGTAAACTGAGCCAAAACTCTGTTTAGCAACTACATAAATGTTCAAGGAAACCAAGAAATTTCTTAATACAATTTCAAACAGCAGCCTACCTGTTTATCTTACATGAAAATTTATCCTATTCACAAAACAAGATTTTAACATTACAACATATTCAGGGGAATTCAATACGCAATGACAAGAGTGTCAACATCATTTGCCATAGATTTTATATGTAAGGCACATGTGCTTTAGTGAGTAATACAACATAATCAAAACTCTGTATAACAACTACAAAAAAAGTTCAAGGACGGTATGAACTTTCTTAATACCATTTCAGATAGCACTATACTTTTGTATCTTGCTTGAAACTTATCCTATTCACCATAGGGATTTTACCATTACATCATATTCAGGGATACCCAAAATGTAATGACTAGAACATTAGCATCATTTGCCACAAATATATGACTACCAGCATCAGGTCGTGTGCCAATTTATGTATTGGATATCAATACTTCTTTATATCTTAGCATTATACCATTTCCACATACTCAAAGCGAACTTCAGAAGTCCAGCAATGCAGGAAAAAACTAGGAAAATTAATATGACAGGGCACACAAGTAAATGATGAAATGACAGTAGGTACTTATTCTAGGTCAGGACATGCATTAGCTGTTAATAAATGATAATGTGTTTGCAGTATCTCTATCTGATCCTAGTATGAAAAAGACTTAAAAGAGTAAATTAATACTAATCCAATTGATGAAGTGATAAGTTTTGGGATGCAATTACACATGCACATGATAAGAAACTCTTTTAGGCAACAAAATTTCCTATTCTAGCAAGAGATAATTCAAAAAGTCGCCCAGCCTTTGGAAGCTTTCATTGATTGGATGACTAGAAATTTGAATTGAGAACCCCATGCTTTTTGCAGGCCCATATGCATCTAGACAAGTAAATTAGATATGCAGCCATCATTTTGTTGATGCATAAATTTCCAAACCACCACAATACAAGTTATGGTAAAGTGCTTTATAGTGGTTCTCCTAAATTAATCAACTAAAAAAGAAGAAAAAAGTAGAAGGGAAAGAATAGTGAATAAAAAGGATTTGAAACTTTAGTAGTATTGTTCCTGCATATTTAAGTACTTAAACTCATACAAAAGCGATATGTTGTCTGAGAATTGTACTAAAGGGGGTAGAAAATAAGATATATGAAGTCATGGTAAAAGGAATCCTGAATGAGCCTCCTGCTAGGCTTCAGACCAACCATTTTAGAAGAGAAACATTAAAGCTATCTACTCATATGTTCCTTCATTGTACAAGGAAAAAGAATCTAAGCATTCCATAATCACCATCTGACCCGAATTGCATTCGATAACTTAACAAATCTGTGGCTAAAGTTAACAAATCACACAAGTAATCACAAAATGGCAAGATAAGAACTTATTATGGCCATGAATCTAGATCAAAAGAAGAGATCAACCCATAAAAGGGTAAAAAAACGAAAGAATTTTTGTCCATCATGATCTGGATTATATTTTTAACTCCATACAAAATAAGCTTGACCATCAGGTCTCCACCAGTTATTTTAACTCCAAGAATCATCGAGCACCAATTAATGCACCAAAATATCATACAAAACCCAGAGAATAAAAGATGATTCATCATTTTTTTTATTTTGTGAAGTCTGATTAATCATATTTTTGTAGAACTTACAACAGTCAGGCCTGCATAGTTGCAGTGTCCTTAAAAACCTGATTATATGGAAATACGATGATAATCATAACTATCTTGTTATAGTAATATGAGATATACATGATGATTATATGGAATTTCAAATCTTATGGTAAATTTTAAATAAATAGATAGTTATAGTAAGTATCTTCCTACAAGATAGATGTCGTCTATCTATATTGAACATCAGAGATAATATTCCTATGATTTCTCAAGTGACGGATTATTTCTTCCGACTATAGTTCAAAAAATATTTCATGATTGATTTTTTATCTTCACGAAAGCAAACTTGTGATTACAGCTAAAGTGTCAGTAACATATCATAATAGATTCAAGACTTCATCACTTAATGAGTCAAAAGAATTTATCAACACTAGAGAAGAATGTAGATGAGGGATGGCAATGCAAAACAAAGTACATGTTGCAGGTGGACTAGTGGGCTTCTCCTATTCTACAAGAGTTAGTTTAAAGATGCAACAAACGAATGATTCTTCTACTTGTTAGACACAACAAAAGATCCGAAGTGTTCCACCCTTTATTGCATATAGGGCTAAAAGAAAGGAGTTGATACTGTGACATGTACAAGCAAATCAAATTTGAATGCACATGCAAGTTTGATTCTTGAAGACTACAAATTTTTTTAAGACAAATGTTATAATTTGTACAAAAAAAAGTTAAAGATAAAAAAATCACACAGGTCATGCTATTAAAAGGTTATACTGAAATAATCTTTCATCTTCCATGTAGTTAGCAAATTGTCTATGTTCTTACTTGCACCAGCTATAATGTTGGTTGATATTAACATAAAGTTGCCCTCTTGATCTCTATTTTTCTAGTAAATCAGTTTCTTTTCATAGACAAACAATGTTTTTTCCAAAGTGGAAAAAGAATTCAACAATAAAACATAGAACTGATAAATCACTTTTTTAAAGGAACTGATTTGTCTCCTAGTCCATTCATTGAAAAAATGGAACTTGATTACTCAAACTATTACCATTGTTGAAGTACTGCTAATTAAAATTCAAGAATTGAAGATATTGTGTTCCTTCTTGTACCTATTTCCTCAACAAGTACCAAGAACTACCTAAGGTTATGACATTTTGATCTGCCATTAAAACCCAAAGTTCCAAGTTGAAAAATATATCAGAGTGTCCAGTGCATATCTGTAACACGCTGACATGTAACTATGTAAGGACATCATCTTTTCAATTCTTATTATTCAAGTAATACTGGTAGCAAATAACCCCCAACATAATTCCCTTAAGAAATTAAGGCATAAAATGAAAGAAGATTTCATTTTTATTATCCCATGGACTTGATCATGAACCCACCTGATCGAAATAGACAGTGTTGCTACATCTTTCTCTTTTGGAGGTTCACTTTTAACTAATAATACATAACATGACACTTCGGTTTAGTTCTTAATGCAGGTTAGATGGGTCTACTACCAATAACTTTAGTTTGTGTTTGGAAATACATGGTTATAGGCCCATCAAGCTAATAGATTAATTCTATCATTCTTGCCAGATCATGGAAAGTGGTGAAACGGTTCGATTACTAAGCATGGTAAATAATCCAAGAAATAAATACTATCCATGAATGGGATCTGAAGCACATCAAGTGTAAAGCCACCACTGAACTGGCATATCTTATGCTGCATACTAGGTATAATTCTAAGCTATAAGTTGCCCTTGGACTTTGATGCGGATGTCAGCCTTATGTGGAGGAGATTGCGAAATTCTGATTTAATATTGGAAGTGGGAGGAGAATTAAATTAGTTTAACTTTAACTAAAACATTTTGAATTACATGATTCTAGGCCTATTAAATTAATGGATCAATTCTTTCAATGGGTTGGGTCATGATCGTAAGGTAAGTTAAACATAATAATTTTGCTGAACTTGCCTTCTAAATTTGTTGAACTTATTCATTTTACTTTCCAAATGTAATTGTTGTGTAAGATCCAAATGTGGCAATAATATTTTTTCCTATTGTATAGGTTGTTGTCCATGCTGAGTTTTGGGCCGTAAGCAATGGACTATGCCAAACCAAGATGCCTGAACCTCTGTTCCTTTCATGTCAAGACTGATTCTCTTGAGCTAGTTCAAATCTTCAACCACATAAGACTGATCCCTTGGTCCCTATGCAATCCTTACAATGGTTTCTTTTTACTAGCAAGGAGGTCAATGTTTTTGACTAGATTCACATCAGTGGACAATTAAACTACTCTGCTCACTCTCTTCCCAACGAGGCAAGAATTTCATGTATTTCTTGACTCTCAGAGAACTTTGGTATTTCCGAGATACACATCTGTTGAATAAATAATTCTCTTTTGTGTTAAAAAAAAAAACCTTATCTTATCTTGAAAAGTCAACTGAGATCTTCAAGACTTGTAAGGAAGACAATCATCATATAGCCCAAAAATTCAGTAAATATATGCACAAAATCTCCAAATATTCCAATGTAAAAATTACTGCATAGTCCATTATCAACTTCCAAGTAATAAGAATGTGTTACTGCGAATAAACTTGTGACTAGAAATGTCTATGGTACACAAGAATTGAATATGAACCACTATTTTGTACACTAATACATTTGGATATAGTTGTAAGCTACTAGGTACCTCTTTAGTGCCTACTATGTGCGAAATTTTCTCCAACATGTTAAACATAATTCATCCAATCTCCTATAGTCCTTTATGAAAGAACATACAATACTACTACTTAAAAACAATTAGTCATAGTGTCCCAACTGTTTGAATTAGCAATTTGGATCTTTTCTGTCACCAAGTTGTGTATTTAAAACAATCTTTTTGTTTTTCTAAAGAAGTCTCCTCTTCTTGCACCATTAATTTTATTTGATCCATCAAATCTAATCCGGCCACTTACGGGTCTCTTTGGACATATCCACATCATTTTGGATCCCTCGTATTATCTTAAATTGATGCTATACTTATAAATAATATTTCTTCTATCTTTCGTGATAATTCTACACATCCATCATATCATTCTCATTCAACAGCATTAATATTTTGTATATGTTACCTGCCATTAACTGACGTTGTGATTCATGAGTCATTGTTACACTTACAACTGTATTATATTTTTTATTTAAAAGGAGTATGATGAAAACATGAGATACCTCTCTCAACTCCAGATTGTTGATCTTGTGAATCTCACAGCTACCAGGATGTGGCACCATTTCCCTTGATTAGCGACACATTTTGTGTTAACTAGGGTGTCTCTTTTAGGTTCCTTTTCTGGATACCTAAAGCAATGCTCTAGAATCTATATTCAATCTAATTTTATTTAGAAAAAGATTGCACAAAAGTGATTGTAGTACCTGATTCCAAGCTGGAGATTTAGCATAAGGTCATAATTCTTATGCCGCTTTGAGATAGTCTCCCCCTGCTTCTTTATCTCCCTAGGCGGCCACCTTAATGGTTGCTGGATCCTCCCAATCCCCCTTGACTCTACGTCATTTAATTGAAGCTCACCGAGAAAGTCATCAACACCCTTGGTTGCTCCCCCTGTCTCAAATGCACCTCCACTCTCTGCATCAGAATTGATAAGCTCATCTGGATCCCAGAACCCACTTTTGCTCCCAATGCCGCTGATTGTACTGGCATGACCATTATGCCCTCTTGGCGTAAACCCTGCTGAGACCACCTCTGCTGATGCTCGCCTCCTAGGCTGGGCATCTGCTGATTTGGAAGATCTCCAGGCTGCTTGCTTCTGGACGAAGTCAGCCTCGACACCCGACCAGTTTAGCGTCTTCTGCGAAGGAAGAATGGACACATTATCACCCTGGCACACCTTGCAATCTCCAAGGTCTGCCAACAAGACCCCAGAGGGATCCCGGGCAGTGGGAGATGAGGCAGTCGGCGATGGATAGTATGCACCCTTCTGCTGGAGGCTCCCGTTCTCCTTGCCCCAATAGCCAACGTAAAGTCCTCCGTCGGCCCAACGGAAGTTCCCATTCCCCTTTGGCAAACCATCTTCCCACCCACCGTCGTATCGATTTCCGTTTGCCCAGACAAGGGTGCCGCGGCCGTCAATGATGCCCGCCCGCCACTGCCCGACATACTCGTTCCCGTTCTTCCAGACGTACCTTCCGTGGCCATCTTGGACATCGGAACGCCACTCCCCGTCGTAGTAATCGCCATTGGCGTAGGACTTCACCCCGTGGCCGTGCTTGAGGTTCATGGACCAGGCGCCGCGGTAGGTGTCGCCGAGAGAGCTGGTGTACGTGCCGTAGCCGTCCATGAAACCGGACTTGAACTCTCCTTCGTAGGTGGCACCGGACGGCCACGAAAACTTGCCCTTCCCCATGGTCTTGCCGTGGCGCCACTCGCCTTCGTACATACAGCCGTCGGTCCATAGGTACTTTCCGTTTCCGTGGGGAACATTGCCGCACCACTGCCCGGTGTAGAAGTCGCCGTTGGCAAGGAGACGCTCGGCGTGGTAGACCGCCTCCGCGCCATCCACGGAGAGAACGTCCGCCGGGGTGGCGGTGGCAGAGGGGAGGTCGCCGCAGGACTTGGGGGATGCGGCGGCGACGTCTGGGTCGTCGGCGTGGGCGACCGACATAAAGGCGAAGACGAGGCTGTGGCGGCGGGCGGAATGCTGCTAGATGTTGCGACTTTAAGACTCCCAAGCCTTGATGAGTTGGTTGCCCGTGAACATTTCACCTCTTCTCCTCCAACAAACCCGGTCTCCAACGATCCACCATCGTTCTCCTATGATGTTTTAGGTTTGGTTTAGTGGTATTTACTTCTTTTTTTTTTTTCTTCTCTGCTTGGAAATTGCTACAAAAATTGGGAGGACGAAGGGAGGAGATAGCGGTGGAGAGAGAAGGACTTGCGCCGCATGCGGACTGAGGGCTCCGATGGAAGCTCCGGGAAAGGCTCACAGACCAAACATCTGGGAGGAGGAGGAGGGAAGAAGAATAGAAAGACATATCCATCAGCCTTGATTGATGGGTGCGTGCTATGGACGAATGGGCAGCGGAAGGCGAGGAAGCGGGGAGGGGATGTCCAGTTTGAAGAACGAGAATGGACGCGAACGAGGGAGACGACGGGATTGCGTTGCGCTAGAATTTTTGGTGGGAGAATCGCACACACGCGTGCTGGACCACGTGGCTTTTCCAATTGTATGTCACAAAAATTACTTGCGCGATTTCCCTAACAAAATTGGGTTTTTCCCAAACTATATCAGTCACGGGTTGGTAAACATTGATTTGATATTTTTTTTATAAATAAATATCCCTATGAAAAAATTCATATATGTTCGTTCTAAAAAAAGAAAATCGAGGGTGTTTTAAAATTTTAAATCTAAAACGATCTGTAGTGAAAGGAGTTAAAGATCGAGTCATTCATTTTTCGATCAGATTGATTAAGTTATTCAAGTACGACATATTTCTTAAAAAACTCCTTAGTTAGCGTTTTTTTTATAGAAATTTCTTTTCGAAAGGATAGCAATAACCCTCAACCACTTGTTATTTTTTCTTCAAAAAACGGGATCCACTCTCTCCCATTTCAAATATATTACATGAAATCAAATCACTCAATAAAGCCAATTAAATTAATTCAAAACTTGAATCATAT